CGAGGAGGCCTCAGTTCTGCTCGGCCGGCTTGCTACGGCGCGACGCGAGGCGGCGGTCAGCATTCATCAGGGTGTGAGTGGGGGGCGTGATGGGACGGGCGGGCGGCGCGGCGCACTGCTGCTTGAGGCACTCGTTGAGCTCGTTGAAGACGCCGCGGCAGTAGAAGGGCAGCGTGATGGTCCGGCCGGTGGCGCACTCGGCATACGCCTCGACCCGGTCGGCGCAGAGCTCCAGCGCCCGTTTGCTGTGCTGCTTCCGCTCGAACTCGGCCTGGCGGTTCTGTGGAGCGACGAGCGGGGGGAGTGGTCCGGCTCGGCTGGGTGTGAGGCGCGGCCGTGCGGTGCGGGTGTCGGCGGTGTTGGCGGCTCTTGGCGGCCGCGCGGCACCGGGAAGCTCTTCGGGCCCGAGAGGCGGCCGTCGCGCGCGTCGGACTTCTCCTCGGCGTCGGGCATGCCGGTGTCGAGCGCCGCCCCAGCCGACCGGGCCGGTGTCACGGACGGTCGCCGACGTAGGCTCTCGCCGCTCGCTCCGGAAGCGAAAACTCTAAGCCGAAGAAGAAGAAAACGGGTCAAGTTTCGACGGCGAGCCACTCTCACCGCACCCGTGAAAAGAAAAGGCCGAGGCCCCCCACGAAGGCAAGACTCCAGGAGCATAAAAAGAAACCCGGCGCGCCACCGGGCGCGCATCCACTTCCTCTTTCGGGAGCGAGAAAAGAAAAGCGGCTGGGTGCGCGCCCCGCACCTATCAGCCCTGCCTCGTCTGCCGGTGCCAGGGGATCCTGCCTGGCTGTCTGCCCGCGCGCGCGCTGGCTGGGCGGATGGCGGGCTCGTCTTCGGCGTCGGGCGCTGTCGACGTCGACCGGATAATCACCAAGCTGCTCGAGGTGCGCGGCGCGCGCCCTGGCAAGCAGGTGAACCTGCTCGAGTCAGAGATCCGAGCACTCTGCACGACCGCCCGCGAGGTCTTTCTGAAGCAGCCGACGCTGCTCGAGCTGGAGGCGCCAATCAAGATCTGCGGCGACCTGCACGGGCAGTACTTTGACCTGCTGCGCCTCTTTGAGTACGGCGGCTTCCCTCCCGACTCAAACTACCTCTTTTTGGGTGACTACGTGGACCGCGGGAAGCAGTCGCTCGAGACCATCTGCCTGCTGCTCGCGTACAAGATCAAGTACCCGGAAAACTTCTTCCTGCTGCGCGGCAACCACGAGTGCGCCTCGATCAACCGCATCTACGGCTTCTACGACGAGTGTCAGCCGGCGCTTCTCGGTGAAGCTGTG